GTGCTTGGTTGTCTGTCTCTAAGTGTTGCCCTGTGATAGACTGGTGACCTGTCCAGGGTGGCCCCTGCCTTCGCCCTAAGTCAGCTAGGATAGGCTCCAGCCTCCCCGCGACCCTAGTGAGGATTAAGATGTATAGGTAATGGATGGATGGATATTGTTAATATAATGTAATTCATTAGGTAAATTTGTCCTTTTCTAAATTTGTATTGAATTTGTATTTGAGTTTGTTTAAATGGCCTTTACTGTGTTAATAAACAAAGAAACAAATAATATAAATAAATGAATAATATCCTGTCATATTTGCTGTTAATTGGGCCCAAGTATCCGGTGCCCAGATATTGCTATTCTAACCAGCCCTAGATGTTACCTAAAATTAATTAAGTAGCCCACATATATATCGGTATCAGCATCGGTTGATATCGGAATTGGAAGTTGAGAGTTGGACAATATTGACATATTGGTTTTTGGCGAAAAAGCCAATATTGGACATCCCTAGAAAGAACACTTAGGTACCCATTTTCTTCGATCGACAAACCATTCCCACACCTTGATTGATAGAGAAATGTCTAGGTGTTGCAGACAAACAATCTCTCCAACTAAACAAACAGTTAAAATTAAAAAAAAAGCACAGACTAATTTATGAAATTAAATGCAATGATGTTCTTGTTGGAAATGACAGTCTTCTTTTTAAATGGAAAGAAAAAAAAAAAACAGCTCGTTTGAACTGCTCCAAATCATTGAGAATGAATCAACGGACGCATCCAAGTTCCTATAGAGGTATTGGGCTAGAAATAAACAAGTGAAGGGCAAAGACAAAAGACAGAACACAGATATTTCAAAATGCAGGCATGATATATTAATGTACTGACCTGGCAGGCATTATAGAGGAGCTGGTGCTCAAACTTCTTTATGCCCAGGATCTGTTGGAACATCTCATACAGCTGGTCCTTGCTGAGGATGAGCTCTGAGGCAGCACTGGCTGTCATTCTCTGCTGATGTTTCCTGGGGTCTTCTTCACCTCGGTAGATAGTATCAAACTTGGCCATCCAGGAGCTCAACACCGTCTCCTTGCTCAGGCCGTCGATTTCAGGTAGGCTACGTACCCGCTTCTCTATGTGCTTCTTAAAAACCTCTCGAGAGTCACTGGCCGAGCATCCACCACTCTGCACCATCCGGCACACACGGTCACTTTTCAGGAAGACCTGCAGCGAAGATGTGAATTATCAGTTTGTTTTCCTACCCAAAAGGTCTATACTGTCTGGAAACAGAAGGGGTGGCTCAGTTCTGTGTTTGGATCTTGATCTTTGAGAAAGGGATGCTGTTAAAGCTACAACATGGACAAATCTCTGGATAAACATAGAAATACCTTTAGCAAAAGACTGACCCCACCGAGCTAAATAACTGAACACCACAGGAGATCCATCCTCCAAGGGGTACAGTTACTTTACTGCTACTCCTACTCTTTCTTTCACTTGTTCTACTCGCAGTGTTTTTCTTGTATTTTCCACTTATATTTTATATGAAAGATAGATATAGATGTATATACAGATGTAATCAAAAGTTTACAGACATTTGTAAAGACCACGTATATCCCAGCAGTCTTGAGTTTCGACTTTCTCCGACTCCTATAATTCTTGATCTTCTATGATGGAATCATTAAAGCACATGGGTCCCAAAAAACAATCACACATTCATTTTTTTAATAGATTTATTGTAGGTCATCTGGAAAAGATGACAAAATCTGGATCAAAGTTCTGTGGTCAGATAAATCAAGTTATTTGGCCACACTGTCCAGAAACATAGTGGGAAAGATGGTGAATCCCTTGAACCAAGGTTCTTTACAGTAGAACTGGAGGCCGAGGCGATGCCATCCAGATAACTACTGCCCAAAAATATAAAGGTAATGCTAAAATGGAAATCAAAGTTATTATCCCATGTGTGTGGCCTCCACGTGCCTGTATGACCTCCCTACAACACCTGGGCAGGCTGCTGATGAGGCTGCGAATGTTCTCCTGAGGGTTCTCCTCCCAGACCTGGATTAAATCATCATCAACTCCTGGACAGTCTGTGGATGGAACGAGACATGATGTCCCAGATGTGCTCAATTGGATTCAGGTCTGGGGAATGGGCAGGCCAGTCCATAGCATCAATGGCTTGATCATGCAGGAACTGCTGACACACTTCAGCCACATGAGGCCTAGCACTGTCATGCATCAGAAGGAACCCAGGGCCCACTGCACCAGTATATGATCTCACAATGGGTCTCAGGATCTCATCCCGGTACCTTATGGCAGTCAGGGTACCTCTGGCTAGCCCATGGAGGGCTGTGCAGCTCTCCAAAGAAATGCCTCCCCACACCATTACTGACCCACCGCCAAACCGGTCATGCTGGAAGATGTTGCAGGCAGCAGAACGTTCTCCACGGCATCTCCAGACTCTGTCATGTCTGTCACATGTGCTCAGTGTGAACCTGCTCTCATCCATGAAGAGCTCAGGGTGCCAGTGCAATCTGCCAATCTTGGTGTTCTCTGGCAAATGCCAATCGCCCTGCATGGTGTTGGGCTGTAAGCGCAAGTCCCACGATGTGGACGATGTGGCCCTCATACCATCCTCATGGAGTCTGTTTCTGACAGTTTGAGCAGAAACATGCATATTAGTGGCCTGCTGGAGGTCATTTTGCAGGGCTCTGGCAGTGCTCCTCCTATTCCCTGTTGCACAAAGGAGGAGGTAGCTGTCCTGCTGCTGGGTTGTTGCCCTCCTACGGCCCCCTCCATGTCTCCTGGTGTACTGGCCTGTCTCCTGGTATCTCCTTCATGCTCTGGACACTGTGCTGAGAGACACAGCTAACCTTCTTTCCACAGCTCACACTGATGTGCCATCCTGGATGAGCTGCACTACCTGAACAACTTCTATGGGTTGTAGACATGCCTCATGCTACCTCTAGGGATGAGAACACTGACAAAATGCAAAAGTGACCAAAACATCAGCCAGAAACAGTGAGAACAGAGACATGGTCTGTGGTCACCGCCTGCAGAATCACTCCTTTATAGGGGTTGTCTTGCTAATTGCCTCTCATTTCCACCTGTTGTCTGTTCAATTTGCACAACAGCAGGTGAGATTGATTCACAATCAGTGTTACTTCCTAACTGGACAGGTTGATTTCACAGAAGTATGATTGACTTGGAGTTGCATTCTGTTGTTTTGGTGTTCCCTTTATTTCTGAGCAGTATATCTTGTTAGATAGTGTGTTTCTGAGGTGTTTAGGGACAAATACAATACCCTCAGGTTTTTTTTTCTGAATTTAAATGAAGAAAATTACAGATCATCCAGGCCTTTATGTCCTTTAGACATTCTTGGAATTTGACCAACTGATTACTTCCATTTGGCTTCATAGATACATGTTGCTGGGTATCAACAATAGAAATGTATGCAGTGCTTCCCAATAATATTGCCTAAGGCAAGCATCTACAAATTAAGTAATGTTGGTCCTAACACAGAACCCTGTGGAACTCCATAACCAACTCTGTTGTGGGTGGAAGAATCATCATTAACCTGAGCAAACTGGAATCTGTGTGATAAAAGACCGACAACCTTCAGAAGGCAACATAGCAGATATGCAGGGCAGCTACAAATACCTTGGAATGATATAAACAAATTTAAATCATAAGGTGATTGCAAGGAAGTCAACCACAGCCAAATACTGATATAGACTGAGGCAGTTAACTGAAAAATCAACTGAATGGACAGAACATGATACAAGCCTTCAGCACATACGCCCTGCCAGTGATCAGATACCCCGCTGGTAAATAAACCTGGAAAAAGAAAGATAGAGGCCACTGATATCAACACAAGGAAGCTCCTCACAATGCCTGGAGGGTTTCATCCCTGAGTCCAGCACCCTGAGACTGTACAAAAAGCAGAAGGAGGGAGGCTGAGAAACAGTAAACATTGCTATCATTTAGACCTACGGACAATTTGAAATCACCAGTTAACCTCAACATGTTTTTGAACTATGGGAGGAATAGAATTGAATAGAATAGAAAAATACTTTATTTATCCCAGTCTGGGAAATTACTGGAAGCCGGAGAGCCCAGAGAGAACCCACATTGCACAGGGAGAACATGCAAACTCCATGAAGAAAGATCCCAGGCATCCTAAACAGGACACGAACTGGGGGTCTTCTAGCTGTGAAAACATACCAGTGGCTGGAAAAAGCTGGTCTGAAAGACAGCACAGAGACACTAATCATGGCAGCACAAAATCAATAGAGGCCGCCGTCCATCTCACCAGACAGAACGAAGGCTGTGCATAAAAGCAAGCTGTATTATGCAGACGGGAGCAGCAGGCATGAAGCGCCATAATCAAGTAGTTGGCATAATGTACAGAAACGTCTGCATCCAGTACGTATGTGTGTCTGTGTATTATCACAAACTGAAAGTGATGAATTTTCAATCAAAAACTCTTTTGCCTTGATTACATGCAGAGTCATATTTAAGAGATTGCACACAAGCTTGTGATTAATGGATGGTAAGTTTCAGCTGCCGTCACTGCCAAACTCTTTCTGAATCTTTGTCTCTTTATATCTTGCTATTTCTGTCTGTCCCCTTATCTCTCACTTTCTCCCTCTTTCTGTTTCCTACTGTCAGTTTTAACCCCAAAGCTAAAGCCAACATGAGAGCTTTAGGATTTAATTGAATTGGATAACCTGTGCCACCAGTTTCATCTGTTAAATATCACACCATTTTCATTTGGCTTGCTTGTGCTGCCACATTAACTGATAAAGAAGTGTCAGTCAGAGTGTCACACAAACATTCCCATGGTTTATTCAAGCATCCAACTCAAAATTAGAGATATCCTCTTTGCAAGACTTGTCCCTAGATCAGCTTTAAGAAAGCATGTTTAAATCGTACCTAAACTAACAAGAGGGCAGATTAATCTAATTAACTGGGGAAATACATACACAAGCTGGCATAACTGGGTGAGAGGAGAGACAGAACTGAGTACTACCAAACCTAATTCAAAATACTGGCGAAACTATAAAAACCAGGAAATACTCTAAACTGACAACAAAGGGGAAACCTACGGAAAGTAGTATGAATGAACTAAAGTTAGACAACAAAACAGGATACTCACAGGACGGGGGCACTAAACTAAAGGAGCAGGCAGGCATAGGGAATTCAGGCTGACAAGATGAGCCGGTGGGCAAAGGCTGGGGGAAACGCCGGAGCTGGGCCGGCAGCAGGCACAGACAGGCCACGGGCAGAATCCAGAAGGCGAGTGTGTCATCGATACAGGGTGGTCAGGCAGCCACGGCTTGAGGAAGCCAGCAGTAAAAAGATCAGGGACCAATGGCAGGTTAAAGCTGTCTGCAAGTGGGATTGGGGCAACAAGTGTGTCGCCAATGCAGAGGGTTCAGGTGGCAGCAGCTTGAGGAAGGCAGGTAGGAGACAGGTCGGGGACTGGCAGGGAAATGGGGTTGCATAGTTTATGATCTGGCAGTGTATGTGAAGGAATGAACTGGGCTTTAATGTGTCTAGGTCATTGTCCACAAGTAAGCCGATCCCCCCAGTTGTCTCCAATCACTGCAATAAGGTAAACTGCACACAGCAGTGGGAAGACAATATAAGGGAGACAGAGGGTGAGCAAAGCTGGGTAAGAGGGAGAGAGACAAAGGAAGAGAGAAAGAGGGAGATAAAGGAAGAGAGAAAGAGCGAGAGAGGAGACTAGGTTGGGCTGAGACTGGGGTCCTGACAATAACAGGATGTCTCCTACTTCTCCAAGAACCTAATAATAGCCATAAAGTGTCAATTCAGAGCAAAACTACATCTCTTTAGAAAAGGAGATTACCTTCATCACTGTGACATCCCGACCTTTTCTCCCCCACCCAGAACATTCTATACAACAAATAACTGAATAGTTAAATTAAGGAAATTTAGCATCATCGGAGTGATGATCCAAACATACGGACTAAATCTGTGGTACCAGGTCAGCGGGCCCAGTATTGAAGAGAACACCTCACGACCTCACAAAGTGTTGTGGAAGATGCACCCGAACACAAACACTGCTCTTCTCTCTCTAACTGCAATAAAAGTAACAGAGAGACTTCAGTCCGACATCTATATAATTCTAAAGCCTTAATTATTGTTTTGTTGACTGTATATGCTTGTGTTCTTAATTATATTAGAAATGTGTTTAATTTTCCTGAAAGTCTACAGCTTGTATGCACGTTTACACTTTATATATTATCTCAAGGACGGTATGAGATAAACATATCATGTTTGAAGTCATTTTAATCACACGTTTAGTGGGATTTTAGATCTGTGGTCATCATAGATATTTACCAGTTAGGTTTGTATGTTTAAGAAATGAACTCAAGCTAGGTTGTAAAGGTGTTTGGACTCTGACCTCACCTGGACAGTGACGCTCAAGACCACCCCTTGGAATGAACACATCCATGATTGGTCAGATGCTGACTTGAATTTGACTCTCTATAAAAAGAAAGTCCCTGGAATGCAAGGTGTTTCTTTTCTGAAATTTACTTGGGCTTTCTCTACTATTTTATTTGACTTTTAAACAGGGTTCTGTCTCCTTTATTTGGGTTTATGAAGGGTTCTTATCTATCATTTTTCTAGGGCTTTGTTTTCTTTCATTTACTTAAAGTTGGGGAGATCAGAAATAAGTGTTCATGACTTCTGATTATAAGACTGGTCAGTACAAGTAGATTTGATCATTTATTAATATTCAATCTGATGTATTAGGAATTAATTTACAAATTTTATATTTGGGTGCCTCTGATTGCAAACAAGTGCAAAATTTTAACTAAAGTGTAGTTTGTGCTATAAAGTGCAGTTTTGCGACGTTTCTACAGTTGAAACCAGAAGCCAGAAGTTTGCATACACTGTATAGAAAGACATAAAACCTTTTTTTTTTCTCACTGTAAAATCAGACTAAACTCTTCCTGCTTTAGGTCAGTTAGGACTAGCAAAATTATTTCTGTTTGGTAAATGTCAGAATAACAAAAGAGATTTATTTTTATTATTTTCTTCAAAGTCAGAAGTTTACATGCACTAAGATTACTCTGCCTTCAAACTATTTGGGAAAGCCCAGGTGATTATGATGTCATGGCTTTGGAAGCTTTTGATAGCTTAATTGACAACATTTGAGTTAATTGGAGGCACACCTGTGGATGTATTTTAAAGCACACCTCAACCACACTGCTCGTTCTGTGATAACATGGGAAATCTAAAGACATCAGCCAAGATATCAGAAGACATTTGAGGACCTCCACAAGTCTGGTTCATACTTGGGTACAATTTCCAGATGCCTGAAGGTTCCACGTTCATCTGTTCAAACAATTATACGCAAGTACAAACACCATGAGGATGTCCAGCCATCATACTGGTCAGGACGGAGACTGGTTCTGTATCCCAGAGATGAAGTGTTTTGGTGCGAAATGTGCTTATCAACCCCAGAACAAAAGCAAAAGACCTTGTGAAGATGACATGAACTCACCTCATAGTAGCTCTGCACAGCATTGATGAAGGCCTCATCAGCCACAATCTGAGTTTCTCCATTGAGGAATGCCTGGAAGCGATCTTTGACTGTCTGCAGTTGCTGCTTACTGATCTGAGGGAGACATTATCAGACAGAAGGATGTTAGAGTCAACGAAAACTTAAAACTAAAAATGTTATAATTAAAACTTAAACAAAAATTGTATGAGCCCATCAAAAGTAATTTAAACACTGTTATGTGGCTAATTAGACATCATTTTGTCCTTTATTATTTTATTTTTTATTCTTGCATGTTTTGATTGTCTCATTACATTGAAACGGCTATTCTTGATTCTAGTCACATGGAGGTACTGATAGGCTTTGACGGTATCAGTCCATGCAACTGAAATAGTATTTTCACAACAAGAGAAAACTAACCCAATACAGTTGAAACCTTTTTTTTCTTACTGTCTGACATTAAATCATGCTCAACTTTTCCTGTTTTCTGTCAGTTAGGATTACCAAAATTATTTCTATTTGCTAAATGCCAAAAATATTCAGTAAGAGAATTTTTTGGAGATTTTTTAAATTACTTTCTTCAAAGTCAGAAGTTTACACACACTAAGATTACTATGCCTTCAAACTGTTTGGGAAAGCCCAGATGATGATGCCATGGCTTTGGAAGCTTTTGCTAGGTTAATTGACAACATTTGAGTCAACTGGAGGCACACTTGTGGATGTATTTTAAGGCACACCTCAAACACACTGCTTCCTTTTGTGACAACATGGAAAATCTAAAGAAATTAACCAAGATATCAGGAAGAGATCTGTGGACCTCCACAAGTCTGGTTCATCTTTGGGTACAATTTCCAGATGCCTGAAGGTTCCACATTCATCTGTTCAATCAATTATACGCAAGTATAAACACCGTTGTAAAGCGCTGTGAGTACCACTAAGGTGGAAAAGCGCTATATATGTGCAGACCATTTACCATGGGAATGTCCAGCCATAATACCACTCAGGAAGGAGACGGGTTCTGTGTCTCAGAGATGAAGTGTTTTGGTGCAAAATGCATGTATCAACCCCAGAACAAAAGCAAAAGACCTTGTGAAGATGCTGGCTGAAGCTGGTAAGAGAGTGTCATTATCCACAGTGAAACGAGTCCTGCACCGAAGTGGGCTGAAAAGCTACTCTGAGGTGAAGAAGCCATTACTCCAAAAGCAACATAAAAAAGCCAGATTACAGTTTGCAAATCTACACAGGGACAAAGACCTTCATTGCTGGAGACATGTCCTGTGGTCTGATGAAACTAAAATTGACCACTTGAAGGAAAAAGGGGGACACTTGCAGGCCTGAGAACACCATCCCAACTGTGAAGTACGGGGGTGGCAGCATCATGTTGTGGGGCTGTTTTGCTGCAGGAGGGACTGATGCACTTCATAGAATAGATGGCATCATGAAGAAAGAACATTATGTGGAAATATTGAAGCATCATATCAACACATCAGCCAGGAAGTTAAAGCTTGGGTGCAAACAGGTCTTCCAAATGAACAATGACCCTAAGCATACCGCCAAGTTAGTTACAAAGAGGCATAAGGACAACAAAGTCAGTGTTTTGGAGTGGCACACATTACAAAGCTCTGATCTCAATCCTGCCGAAAATTTGTGGAGAGCTGAGAGCGGAAAAGGTGTGTGAGCAAGGTGGCCAACAAACCTGACTCAGTTATACCAGTTCTGTCAGAAGGAATGGGCCACAATTCCAGCAAACTATTGTGAGAAGCTTGTGGAAGGAAACCCAAAACATTTGACCAAAGTCATACAGTTTAAAGGCAATGCTACCAAATACTAAGGAAATGTATGTAAACTTCTTACTTTGAAGAAAGTAATAAATAAATCTCTAAAAAAAAAAAAAATATCCTTACTCTGGCGTTTAGCAAATAGAAATAATTTTGGCAATCCTGTGGTGGATAGTGGGTAAAAGCACCAGACCAGTGTTGACGTCCAGACTCTAGTACACTACTCACAATAAGTTAGGGATATTGTTATTTACATGAGTGCTTTTCCTATTTGGTCTGAATTTTAATGAAATAAGTAGAAGTTCCCTTTGATATTACTAATAATGAATGAGAAGAAACACCATTTTCATTAGTTTAATATTTATTACCCCCAAAATTTAAACAATAACAAGGATAGCCCCAAATAAAAAAAATTGACAGTGTCAGTAGCGGGTATTTCCACCATTTGCCGCAATGACAGCTTGACAATGACGTCTCATGCTCCTCACTAGCCTCATGATGTTGTTCTGAGGCAATGTGTTCCACTCTTCCACAAGTGCTACACGCAGTTCTGCCAGGTCACCATGAGTACGGTCATCCAGTCACTGCTTCAGCTGGTCCCAGACGTGCTCTATGGGGTTCAGGTCAGGGGACATTGGGTTTTTATTGTTCTCAAGTTCTTATATTTTTGCACTGAAAGGACTGCAGCTTTGTTTCGTTGTACTTGTTACAATGACAAAACAAATCTGAATCTGAATCTGGCCATACCATATGAGGCACTCTGACTTCCTGAAGTCGAGTTGTGACAATTCTGGCACGATGTGGTGGAGTGTTGTCATCCATGAACAGAAAGTTGGGGGTGTGCTGGCGGAATTGGGGGATGATGATGGGTTCTATGATGTCTCTGAGGTAGGAACGTGCAGTGACTGAGCCATCTACAAAAACCAAATCTGTTTTGCGCTGGCTGGTGATGCCTGCCCAGACTGTTGCACCTCCTCCACCAAAGCGAACCCTGGGGACCATGGTAACCTCGGCATATCGCTCACCTCGCCTTCTCCAGCAACGCTGATGACATCATTTCTGTGCAAGGTGACTCGACACTCATCAGTGAACAGGACGGTAGACCACTGCTGCATTGTCCAGGTCACATGGTCTTGTGCCCACTGCAAACATTCACGGCGGTGTCTTGGTGTCAGTGGAGTCACCTGCAATGGTCGTCTGGCATTCAAGCCAAAGCAGTGGAGTCGGTTGCGAATGGTTTGTCTGGAAACCCTAGTACCCCTCACATCTCGTAAACGGGCCTGCAGCTCTGCGGCACTTGCATAGCGATGTCTGAGTGCATAGGTCCTGAGGTACTGGTCATCGTTGCGGTCGGTTTCTCTTGGGGCCCCACTCCTGGGTCTGTCACGAACTGCACCAGTAGTTCTGTGTCTTGATGCAAGTCTGCTGATGACACTTTGAGACACACCAAGTTCACAAGCAACATCAGACTGCCTGTCACCGACTCGAAGGCTTGCTATGGCCTCCCTGTCCCAGAAATTTCTGAAGTGAAACAAAGACTGTATGTATGAAATCCACTGAGTCTCTCACAATATCCCTAACTTATTGTGAGTAGTGTATTTTGGTTTAGGGAAACAAAGGCTTTTTGGTAAAGGTTAGGGTAGGATAGCAGTGGTTAAAGCAAATAAAAATGTTCTGTCTTAAGTCAGTGTGGATGTAACCATTGTGCATACTATTATGATTCCATAACTGAAAGTCTCAATATGCAATACTTTTTGTTTGTTTGTTTTTAAGTTATTTTTTTGGGGCCTTTTTGCCTTTATTTGAGAGTGCAGTTGAGAAGAATGGGGGAAGGACCTGTGGAAAAAGGCCATGAGCAGGATTCAAATTCATGACCGCCACGTCGGGGACTATAGCCCCTGTACATGGGACGCCAGCTCAACCAGGGGAGCTGTAGCAGTGCCCCCTCAATATCCAATACTTTAAATATTAATATTGTAAGAAAGCAACTATCCTGTATGTAAACATTATAGTGTTCTTAGCAGAATGAAAACACACTGCCTCTGTGTATGTTTTAACCCAAATTTCTTAATTCTGTGTTCTGGCAGCAAGTAAGGCCATATGTTAGTGCAGGTGAGTCCCTCCCTTTGAAACTGTTGGCTTACACAATTATAAAAGAGTGACAATGATCTACCACTAGGGCTGCAACTAACGATTATTTTAATAGTCCATTAATAATAATCTGTCCATTATTTTTTCGATTAGTCGACTAGTCACAATTATTTCTGCACCATGACGCAGCTCTTTTTACAGGCTCCAGTGCAAGTTTTACCCCACTCTCTAAATGTACAGCCCATGAATGTCACCCTGATTTCCAGTCAGTCACAATATAATGTCCTTAAGTAAATTAAAAGAATGACTCGTGAACCAGTTGAATATGAAGTTTAAGCTGAACAGCTTACTCTTATTTATTTTAACACATTCAAACTCTGCTGTATTGTCGTATCCAAACAAAACAGAATTTGGCTCAAAAAGAAAACAAAATAAACAAAATAATTTCATTCAAAGCCTGTTTTTGCTTTGAATTTCTAAAATGGCAAAATCAAAACAGAAAATGAGGCTAAATTAGTTGTCACAAAATGTAGGTTACCACACCACAGCACATGCAGACTAAATCCATTAATCCATGTAACGGTTTCAGTGTTACAAATGAATGATGTTATTTATTCATGCTGTGTATTTATTTGTTACCAAACAGTATATAGGCCTAGTCTGATGCTTCACCCCACAGAGCTAGAACCTGGGCTAGGCAGGCAAAGTTAGGGAAAAAGTCAGATACTTTGGGATTAGCTGGAAACATTTTTAAGCCGACCAACTGAGACACACTACATTTTAATGATGCTAGCATGTACTGCTGTCGTCTTCAGAAATGGTTACGTTTGCAGAAGTAGAGGGCTTCTTGTTTTGTGTGTCTTTGTGGTCTTAAAAATGGTTACAGTTAATGTTACCACTGTCAGGAAAGCTGTACACTTCTATAATTCGGTGTTGTATTGCACTTAACACGTTAATTTTCATGAAATGGCCTCGTAATGATTAATGTCATCCTGAAGTACGTAGCCCGTTTCTCACAAGGTAAACAAAACACATACTAATGCTAATTTACCATCTGAAACGCTGGGAGTCATGACTCCGGGGTGCTTTCGTTTCAGACGCTCATGCATGGCTGTCGTGCTGCCGTGGTATGACAACTCTGCATGACAGACTGCACATTTCTCCTGATTTGACACTTTACTTAACTTGAAATATTGCCAAACTTTACTTTACTCTGACCCTGCTCAGCTTGCGCCGCCACCGGTCTTG